AAATTAAAAAAATAGATCTTCTCCGTGACAATGCATATCGCAGCATTGCCGTGACCAGGATTCGAACCTGGGTTACCACGGCCACAACGTGGGGTCCTAACCACTAGACGATCACGGCTGTTGAAGACGCTGAGGCGAAGACGCAAAAAAGCTCATATCAGCGTACCATATGTATGTTTGTGTGTGTGCGCATTTATATCAATGCTTTGGTCAAGCTTTGCTACGATTCTCGTGCTTCAAACAACTTGTTTATGGAGCAAGTACACCAATAACGGCAACAATAACAAACAGCAACAGCAACAGTAACAGCACCTGCAGCAATAACCATAACAGCATCAACAACAACAACAAGAGAAAAAATAAAAGCAAAATAAAGCAAAATAAATTCAACGGTGAAAGGCAGCTAGCTGAGCGAAACCCGCCCAACTCAACCCGGCAAGTACAGAAGACAGACTAAACAACCAAGCGACAGATGGACAGACAGACAGACAGACAGAGAGACATACAGACAGACAGACATACCGACAGCCAATAAACAAGATTTTGGTTTATGAATGAATGTAAATTTTTAGCAGCACAGATGCAGAACAGAGTAAGAGAGGGAGAGAGGGAGAGAGAGAGAGAGTTAGAAAAGTAGAGAGAACGGCAAAGAGGGTAAAGGTCTGAGGAGGGGCGGGCAGGGCAGGGTGTGTTGCTTGACTTGGCATTTCAATTCATTTTGCTATCAGCAGCATTTTGCGGCTTTGCCTGTGGGTAATTGTAGAACCAAGGGCGCAGGTGAAGGGGGAATTCCGGCAACGCTGCTTAAGCAGAGGGGCAGCCGGTTAGATATGAATACGAATAATAAGTTCAGTCAAAATAAAATGTTGCATAAATTTAGAGCAGAGTATGAATATAAATGCGATTATGTTTATACTTAAGCGAATCGCAGAGTTAATTGCAATGGAATTAAATATGTTTGAGGTATTTATTTATTAGCGCACATCAATTTATGATAAATAACTTATTTAGTAGGCAAGCCAATGAACAAGTGCTGATGACTAATTGAAATAAATTTGCAACACATTAAAACCAATCATAAATCATTTTCACCTTAGGGAATATATTTTAAATGTATTTATGTTTTAGCTGCATTAAAGCGATAAAAGCTACTCCTTTGTGTTTACCGTTTTGCGTTTACAATTGGATTTGTATCGTTTATTCCCCGTCTTTTTGTTGTTGTCATTACATGTTAATTCCATTTACTAAATGAGCTAAGCTATTAAGGGGAGTGGGGTATACACGCACTTGCGAATTTCCGTTTATATTTGCAATTTAATTTTATGCCTGATTGCAAATGTTTCTTAAAGTGTTATAGAAATCGGGCTGATTAATTTTCCAAAAGTGCTTTAAAGTCATATATACCCTACTGGGTTTGAGTGGACTGGGCATACTGAATGAACTGTGCACACGCACATTTAATGAGGTGCTGACTTGTGAGCGACGGTCTACTTATTTCCCAGGAGGCATTTAAATGAGTTATATTTGTTTCCACTTAAATACATCTATTTTAAGAACATTTAAGAAATATATGCGAATATTACGCAAAAGCAATTCCAATTGACAGAGCTTTATCGCATTTGTAGCCAGGGAGATAAGCGAATATTGTTGTGCCTATTATTCAGAAATGTATATCGTCTGTATATTTTATTTATATACTTATAAGTATAAATACAGAGATAAGCAGCATGTAAAATATGATTTATGTAAGCTGATTGATTTGATTTAAAAGTGGGTGATAAGCTCTTGGGAGAGCCTCCAATTAGCTTATATTATTTGAGAAATATAGCATTGATAGTCATTATAAAGATAATGATGATTATGATACTTATATGAATTATTTTCGTCTAACATGGCGAAATTTCAGCACAGCAAGATATCAAAGTCGATTGTTATCAATCTAATGATTATCATTATATTTTCAATTGCAAATAACGAAATTTTTTCTGTGCGTGCTCGATATACATACATAATAGTATTATCAATTATAAAATCAGGTCAGGTTTTGTTTATCTTTTCCTAATTTGTTAAGTGGCCTTGAGCTTATTTGTTAGTTATTTGCTTATGTTGTGTCTCTTGTGTACATATTACAGCATTATTAGTTCGTTATTCCTTTCATAATTGTCTTATATGTAATCATTAGCAAAATCTGAGGTCGTTAAACTAAAAACTATTTCTTAAACAATCATTATCAGAAAGAAAGAGTATAAATTATAAATATACTTAAACTAGAAATAAATAAGAATAAAAATTATAAATATAATATTGAACTATAAATATAAATATAAACTATATATATAATCATAAACTATATATATCATTATAGATTAGAAATATTATTCAAAGGGAATCATTAAATTAATGATAAATACAAAAATTTTGCCCAATTTAAAATAACTCACTATTTAAATGTTTAACACACTCAGAAGAAGAAGAAGACTGCTCTGGGTACCTTTAGGAATTTCCTCCAAGTCTTCAATGCTTGGCACTGCACAACTGACCGCAACCAGGCCTGGGCGACTGAAGTAATGCTGCAGCTGCTGCCCTTTATATAGGGCGACTTCTACTCAAAGCCTAAGTCGCTCTCAAATGTTGTGCCCAGCGCCAGGTAGAGGCCCTTGCAGTCGAGAGTAAAATGACCAATGGGAACACTCTCAGATGCTGCGAGCATTCTAGCTCCGTTCTACTCAAATACAAATACCAAAAGAATGCTGCTGCATACATGTAGACAACTTAAATGATCTTCTGCACTTCATCCCTTACTTTTCATAGCTATACAGATTGAGAGACAGACTTTGAGATGGACAGGGAGAGAGATGTCTCTCTACATATACAGAATTTTTGTAAATGCTTTGTAAGGCTAAATGTTGATATGCTACATTAAAGTGGATATTTATGTACATTAAAATGAATACTTATTAGACGGCATAGAGAGCAGTTTTTTCTCTTTTATCGTTCTCTTAAGGATTAGTTTTTCTGCATAGTCTCAATTTCTGGCTATTCTATCCGATATTCATTTTCAATGAGCTAGACCACGTTCATCTTGCCTGTGTGCCTGTGTGTGTAAGTGTGCTTCTTTCCTTATCCTTTTTAACAGGAAAATATGGAAATTGACTCAACTTTCATTTCGTTGGTATTCCAGATTGACTACCCATTACTTTAATTAAATGAATGTCAAAATATATATGCATATATTTATTTCAATTACACTCAAGACCTCTTTAGCCTTAACAGGGAGACACGCCCAGCGCCTCTTATACCAACATCCAAACAAACAAGTTTCAATTCCCAACAACTTAAATACACTGCAAATATCCCGTTGTATCCAGTTTTAGTATAATTTTTGCATTCCATGATTTTGTAATTACGATTAAGTGTACAATATTATTTCAATGGTATTTTCTGTCCTTTTCGCTTTGATTGTGCGCCATTTAAAATGTAACGGGATTGGCGGTTGGTTGGGTCCCACTGTGACTGCTGGGGCTGCAGTCAATGTGGGCGTGGCTTTTAGTTTTTTTAACACCACTTTGGCGTTACGTGCGGCAAAGCCCTTAAAAAAAATACTAGTGTTTACATGTAAACTGAAAATTTATGGAATACCCACTCACACATACACATACACACATTCAATCCCACACACACACCCATCCCACTCATTCGCTCGCACACACAGACAACAGAGCGAAAAATTTTTGCACGGATTTAATTTTTGTGCAATTTTTTGTGGCCTGCTTTTGAAATATTAAAAAAGCCTGCACTTGTCTCTCTGTGTGTGTGTGTGTGAGAGAGAGAGAGAGAGAGAGAGAGAGAGTGCGTGTGTGTGTGTGAATATTCGCGCTCTAATAATTGCGCAAAGAGTTGGGCTATTTAAATGCAAGTATTGACCGTATGACTATGAAATAAGCAAACGCGCAAATAAAAACAAAATAAATAAATGAGTATAAAATAAATAAAAAATAAATATACACATTATGGATTTGTAATTTACATGAAGAGGATAAAGTTCAACAAAAAGTGCGCTTCATAATTGCTTTACAGTGGGTTAGATCAGTAAAGATATGCGCGATAAATATTTAAGAATTGGAATATATATCAATAAATTTTGGACTATTGCATAGTTGAAGAAGCTTATGGGAAAGGAGATTGATATAGTAGTCGTAGTGATATAGAGAAAGAACAACTGAGTGTGGCAGAAAATTGGAGGAAAAGACAGTGAGAGTGAAAGAGAAAGAGAGAGGGAGAGAGAGAGAGAGAGTGAAAGACAGAAGACAATGAGAAAACAAGAGTTAGATAGACAATGGATTAAGACTGACCCAAAGAGAGAAGAAGATGAACTGAACGAGGAATGTGAGTGATAGAGGAACAAAGAAAAGAGAAATAGAAAATAAAATAAATGTCAGATAATGGATAGAGACGGATATGTTGGCACAGATAAAATTAAGAATAACTTAAATCATAATTTATATTTGATAATCGCTTCATAGAACAGAATTAAGGAAACACGAATTTGTACAGCATATCTACAATTACCTTAAGCAAAAGAAATGGAGTCTATGGGAATTGTGTAGAATTGTGTCGCAGTATGCAGCATATACTATTTATTTTATTTATTGTTGTATCTATCTACTGACCTACCTATATATGTATAAAGTTATTGTTCCACATAACATATATACAGTTTTTATCAACAATTCATTCCATTCTACTCACTGTATTGTGTTGCTGTGCCGCCAACTAGTCTGCCTCGTTTGAGGGTCACGATTGATCGATTCATGTTGTTTTATTCGGTTTTTTGCAGTCGCGGATTGGATTGTGGGATAGGTTTTTATGTTCTAATAATTTGCAGTTGTCCGGCATTGGGGGAACACGTGCGCCAGTTGTCAGCTGCAGCTGTCATATAGGCGCTTGACTATAAATATGACACGAAACACGAACCCTTTGTACAGTTGCACTTGGGCAAAATGCAGGATAACATTCATACGCCCTTCAGCTCGGACATACCGCTCGCTTTTATATATACCGATGAAGTGACTGGACAGACTCTATACTGCGGCCCATATCTGCGCTCTTTGGAGAGCTTCGCCGAGAGATTTAACTTCAAGCTGCAGCTGGATCATGTGGAAAATATGGCAAAGAAGACGCTGCTGCTCCAGCAGATTGCCGAGGGAGAGTATAACACATCTGTACACGGCGTGAGCATAAGGAGCACATTGGAGGATCCCTCGTCGACCATCACAGCATACAGCTACCCCGTTGAGGTGACGAAGTACTGTGTGATGGTGCCCTTGGCGCCGGAGCTGCCCAAGTGGATGTACATGGTCTGGCCATTGGGCAAGTACGTCTGGACCACGCTCTTCCTGGCCATCTTCTACGTGGCGCTGCTTCTGCGCTACGTGCACCACGGCGAGGCAGCCACTCGCTCCTACACGCGCAACCTGCTCCACGCCATGGGCATCATCATGTACAGCCCGAATATGAATATGCCAGTGCAGCTCTGCCAGCCGCCGTTCCGTATACTCATCTTCTACACGCTGCTCTACACACAGGGCTTCATACTGTCCAATTATCACATGAGCCACATGACCTCCTTCGACATGAAGCCGGTGTTCGTAAAGCCCATTGATACGTGGTCGGACCTGATAGAGTCGAGGGTGCGCATTATCATACCGGACACGCTGCTGGAGGAGCTGCGCACCTTACCTGTTGTAAATATCTCCTCATTAGACGCCCAATTCGAGCCACGCGAGTTCCACGACTTTCAGGAGCTCATGGTGAATCCGTCTCGCGAATATGCCTATGTGGTTACCCAGAATGCGTGGGAGTTCTGGAACCGACAGCAGAGCGTGCTCATCCAGCCGTATTTCCACATGTCTCGCGTCTGCTTTGGGGGCCTCTTCAACGCCTTTCCCCTGCAGCGGGATGCGCCCTTCGTCGATCAACTAGATCGTACCATGCTGTACATAAGGGAATCTGGTCTGTGGGGCTACTGGGAGGACATGGCCTTCGTGTTTGCATTGCGTGCGAATGTCGCAAAGATATTCCTGGACACGTATCCCGTGGAGACATTGAATCTGGAGTTCTTCAAGACGGCATGGATTGTGATCATCGGCGGTTTGCCGCTTTGCTCAGTGGTCTACTGCTTGGAGCATCTGTGGAGCCGTTGGATGAACGGGCAGAGCAAATATTAGAAATTTAGCATATATATTAAGAAATTTGATATGATTCTTAATGATTATATAAAGCATTTTCAATAATATGATTACCCCATTTATGATTCATTCATGTGGTGATATACTACATATGCATATGTATATTCCAGATGTCATTTATTTATTATTATTCTGCTAAAAAATATTTAATATATTTATATATATTGTAATATTAATTTTATTTCAAAATTGTTTAAAAAAATGCACTGATAAGAGTTTATTTGCTCGCAATTAAAAAAAAATGTATAGACTCAATATTATCTTTTATTTTAATCATCATTAGCTACGTAGGCTTGTTAATGCCATTGCTATTACAATATCCAATATTATCCTTAAGTAAAAAATCATGAATATAGAGGTTGTCATAGGAAAAAATGAAGCCTTTGATTATTTAGTCGATAATAAAAAGATCAACAATGATAATGACACTAAAAATGAATAACAAAATATGTATATTCCTTTTATTCTGTAACAAAATAAGTTGATATATTCGAATAATGATTTACTCATAGAATTAGAAAAATGTTTACATTCAATAATATAACATTTTGCTGCTTTTTATGACCTAAATCAATTGAAAATCAGGGTATAATTAAAAAAAAAAAAAAACATTTCTTTTTTATTAAAGAAGCTCGGTTGGTTGGGAATTATCTAGTTTGCATATGCCTTATAATATAAATATAAATTCATATTTAAATGTATTTAAACATTTATTTATTTAATTTATTCAATTATTCCTATTGTATGGAATCTAAAAATAAAAAACAACAGCATTATGCTGTCATAGCCACAAATTAGGTTATATTGTTTTAATTAAACCTATTTACAAGAAGGCATGAAAGCAAGAACCCGCACCCTTGAGTCGCTCGTTTAGTTGCTGAATTATAATGTCAAATGTTATGGATATTTAAGATAAGCATCGAGAAATGACCTTGTTTAATTGTTATGTTCGTCAAAGCAAGGAATGTAATCCCTTGAGCAATAGTCAAAGGCATTTAGGACGCTATAAAGGCCAACTAAACGCAGACATTACGCATACGCAACGTGAACGCTTCGCAGTTATGTATTCGCCCCGCTGGTTTATCATTTTAATCGTGCTGCCGTTGCCATGGAGCTGCGGCTGGAACAGCAGATACATAAGCAGACTGCTAATCAGTGTTAATCGGATGGTTCCGTTCCAGGATTTGGTTTGGTTCGTTAGCCAGCAGCTGGACAGCGAGCAGAGGGACAACATGGAACAATTCATTCGCCAGCATCACGATGTGTTTGCCTTATCCCAGGTCGTTGTTGTCAACAACTCGGATATGCGAATGAGCAACTCGGCGGTCAGACGCAACCAGATGACCGTTATCTTCACCACGGGCCTGCACGATCCCATCATGGAGGTGACCAACAAGGTGCTGCTGGGGAAGCACTTCTACCTCGCCGTGTTCATGATGATGGGGAAGGTGGCGAACATGGAGGATGTCTACGAGATCTGCCAGTTCCTCAACGACAATCAATATGAGAATTCGCTACTGTACTTCGAGTCGATGGACGGCATCAATCAGATCTACGGCGCACGTCAATATCCATCGTACGAGATCGAGAATCGCACCGACCTGCAGAAGTTCATGAAGACCAAGATTAGCCAGGTGACGAACGCGGTCCACGACGTGGGCGGCTATCGCTTTGCCACGCCTATGCGCGAAGATGCGCCGCATCTGTTCCGAGTGGGCGACCGCTACGAGGGCAGCACCTATCGCATCATCAACACGTTTGTGGATCACCTTAACGGGAGTTTCAAGCAACTGGAGCTGCCGCCAGACGCGCTTGGAGGTCGCGCGGTCAATATGAAGCAAACGCTGCAGCTGGTGCGGGATCGGCAGGTGCAGTTCGTGGCCCATGCCTACGCCTTGTTCATGCCGGACGACGACCTGGAGAAGAGCTATCCACTGCTGGTGGTGCCCTGGTGCTTGATGGTGCCGCTCTACAACAGCGTATCCACCTACTTCTATGCGCTGCAGCCCTTCGACACGACCGTTTGGTTCTTTGTGCTGGCCGCCTTTATGCTGCTCAGTTGGCTGGAGCTGCTGTGGCTGCGACTGGGGCGGGGGCTGGGGCACAGCAGGGGCCGTGGCTCAGCGGGAGTGACCACAGCGCTGCTGAACTCCTTCTGCTACATCATCAACATAGCCACGGGCAGGCAGCTGCTGCAGCCCCCGCTGCTGCGCTTCCTGCTGCTGCTGGCCGTCTTCTTTCACGGCTTCTTCCTGTCGGCCAACTACACCTCCACCCTGGGCAGCATTTTGACCGTGAACCTGTTCCATGCTCAGCTCAATACCATGGACGATCTGCTGCGGGCTCAGCTGCCTGTGATGATCATCGACTACGAGATGGAGTTTCTGCTGCAGCTGCACAAGGAGCTGCCGGCCGGCTTCATCAAGCTGCTGCGCCCCGTGGACAGCGGAGTCTTTGCCCAGCACCAAATGCAGTTCAACAGTTCGTTCGCCTACTTTGTCACCGAGGACAGCTGGCAGTTCCTGGACGAGCAGCAGCGGCACCTGAAGCAGCGCCAGTTCAAGTTCAGCGACATCTGCTTCGGCTCCTTCCACTTGGCCTATCCCATGCAGCGCGACTGCTCGCTCTGGCGCGACCTCGAGTACTACACGTTCCGCGTTCACTCCTCCGGCCTGCTGTACTACTACGCCCGGCTCAGCTTCGAGTCGGCGCTGCATGCGGGCATCGTGCATCGCCTGCAGGAGCGCAACGAATACACATCAGCGGGCCTGCAGCATCTGGCCATAGCATTCATTATGCTCTTGGCCATGTCGGCTCTGGCCTTCATCGTTTTCATCATCGAACTGCTAACGAGATTCCAGTTTTAATTACGCACAGCGAATTTGATTATTGATTTGCCATTGACCTCAAAATTTGTATAACTCACGCGCTTCGTTTGGCATTTCGCATTTGGCTGAAATTAAATTTGAATTTGAAACTAGATTCAGTTGACCTCAAACCCAATTATCCGAGTGCAGGGTGTCGAAGAGGCGCCGAAATGGATTGTAAATTGATTCATCAGTTTCAAATAGATTTATCGAATTTTGTATTTTAAATAACTCTGGGTAATTAAATGAAAAATTACAGATTGAATTAAATAGAGAGCAGGAGAGCAGAGTCTCCAAGAGTCTAAAGTCGATGTTATTATTATGTAAAAGCAAATCAAACTGTAAAATAATAAACAAATAAATTATTATTATATTTTTTTTCTTTGTTCTTAGTTTACCAAATTATTAAGATCATAAATCAGAATTATTATTTATTATTTAATTTCATAAGTCTACTATTATTATTTTAAAGTAATGAATATAAATTTATATCTAATATATTATTATTATAGCACTTCCATTTCTTATAAAAATAAAACTTTTTTTTTGTAATTATTTAAAATAAGTATTTAATTACTCAAGTAATTGAGAAAATTATTTTATTATAGTTTTATTATTCTAAAACCACCACTAAATAGCTATGGGTAATCAAATGAAAAAGTATCTATTAAATAAAGATCTGGATCTCTAGTCTCCAAGACGCTGAAAGCATTCCTAGAGATTAGAGATCCTGCTCTAAATTAAAATGCATGCATAGAGATTATAAATCCTTTTCTACATTTAATTATAATAATAATATTTCATTTAATTATAAAATATCATTTAAAAATTATATATTTGATATAGGTATGAAAATATACTTTTTTAATCTAAGTATTTAAGAATTTACAAAACCTAATTTCATTAAGATCCACATATTTCAAGGTAAGTATCCTATTTAAGATTTATCATCAAATGAAATTTGAATTAAAAACTAGATGAAGCAGGTAATATTATAAAAATAAATCCATTGCAATTAGTTTAATAAACTCCAAATATATTTATTAAATTCGTTATTTGAAATATCTTATAATTCGTATTTCTAGGGCCTAGAGATGAAATTGAAAGCAGTTACAAATTTTAGTTCAATTTCTAAAGCCGAAGGCCTCAGTGGCCAGTGCTTGTGGTTATGCTAATTTTAATTTTACATTAACTCTAATATCAAATCAATAAACATATAAAAAAACTATTTTAGCTAAATTCAAGCACTTTTCCAGCATTCATCTCCTGCAGCTTCGGCGCCTATTTACTGCAGCTCTCAGTTTTTGCCACAGCTTGTGGCCATGCGCGTGCATTACATGCTGATGCCATTTCATCTCCAGGATGAACGCCGTGCCGGCTAGGACGAGACCCATGCACCAGGTGCGCATCATGCTGGACAAGAAGGTCATGCTCAGTGGCTGTGGCTGCTCATGCAGAATTATCAGGTGAATGACGCGCATGTACAGTGCCTCCCAGAAGGACTCCCACTTCCAGTGATGCCTCAGGCCCGATTCCTGGGAAATCAGTATGAAGTTCTGCAGCGGCGACTGCAGATGCGAGTCCAGATGCATGGGGAAAACGTGGTAGAACGGACCCGAACAGATCTGCGTCAGCCTGAACACCGGCACACGGAGGTGCTTCTGCAGCATCATGATCAGATCCCAGCGATCGCTGGACACAAAGTAGCCAAAGCTCGCGTTCAGCAGATCGCGATGGCGCTGAATAAACATCGCATCCGCAACAACGACTTGTTGAAGAAAGCGCTCCGAGTACTGATCCCTTTTACGGGCAAGAGCATTGTACTCAAAGTCCTGCACGTAGATGATCAGGTTGGCGTCGATAACGTCCTGCAGGGTGTTCAGCTGGCGCACGGGCGGCGGCGAGGTGAAGTAGCTGGCCATCTTGCTGATGTACATGTTCGAGGCGACCATGCCCATGATGGTGAGCACCAGATAGAGATAGCGCATACGCCTGTCCCTAGTCCGCACTATCGAGGTGGGCGGACTGTTGATCAGACTGAGGATGCATTGCAGCAGAATGGCACTGAGATCCCTCGGCCGCTGCGGCGAGCAGAGCCAAAGGCCAAAGCCC